ATTAGCCTCCGGTGTTATGTGGTCTTCACACATGTTTGAAAGAAATCTTATCTTTGAACATATATTCATATGGGGGGGTTTTGCGAATGGCTTTGCAAATAATTTGTTTTACATATATAGGTAAATGCATTGTAAATATCTTATTTCTTCCCCTTATTTCATCGTTTTCATCAATCGAAATTGTTTAAAAATTCTATTAAGATTAATAGATGTATGAATGTATAAATTATATATATAAACTATTACTATACAGGTTATGTCATTACTTTGATCTATTCATGACGGAAATAATTAAATAACCTAAATGCATTTTACCCTTACTAATTTTAATTTTGGAGGTGAATTTGACAGAAACTGGGGCTACATCTTAAAGGTACAAATCAAGACCACTAATATTGAGTCACAAATCAAATCAAAAACACAAATTCCGAGCCACATCAATCTAAAAATGACGAATCAACGTCTGAGATACGGATTTACACATGGACATCCTATGCATACAGCTGAACCTGAAACTACAATTTTTCCCCTTTTTTTTCACTCCCTTCAACCAACCATACTTTGGGTATTAGTACCTGACGGGCTAGACGATGTATTACTGCTGTTTGTCATCTTATGCCTTCCATCGGCATTTCCAAGCACATTCAAATCTTCGAACAACCTGTATGATGGGATAAAGGGCTTTTGTCCTGTAGCAGGAGCGGTGTTCCTAGGACCGGTTCTCGTCCAAGAATCTCCGTTCATCGGTGCTCCTCCGTTTGTTCCTCTTGCATGCAATGAACTATTATGCTGCAAGGGTCTGGTTGCTGTGGGAGTGTTTGACGCGACGGTATTTGCTCCGGGAGTAGAAAACATGTTTGCAGAAGAATGATGATTTTGGCCGCTGAAATAACCAGGAGTAGCAGCCCATGGTGGAGGGGGATACCCGTACTGAGGCTGAAAATTTTGTTGATATTGAGGTTGTCTGTATGAGTGGTTTTGAATTTGGGATTGTGTTTGGAGCTGATGATGCGTTTGCTGATGTGCTTGGTGCAGAGATCGGGACTGGGATGGGGATTGTGGCTGGAATTGAGGTCGGGTTTCTGTTTTGAACTGAGTTTGGGTCTGAGCCGGTGAATTTGACTGGTTTTTGAGCTTGGGGTTCTGCTTGGAACTGGGGGATTCAGATTGTAGGTCCACCATAGGTGATGCTTGTGTATTCTGTAGGGAATGATACTGTGGTTAGACTTGAGGCTGGGACGGTCTCTGAGGAGGTGCCTGTGGCTGAGCCCAAGGAACCACATAACTACTATATGCCATTGGTCCTTGACTTCCGGGGTAGGTTTGGGAAGCATAAGGATGTCCCTGGCAGTTGGGAGTAACAGTTCCTTGATGCAAATTTTGGTGAGACACGGATGGTGTAGGAGGGGTATGTGGAGTGGAAGCCAATGTTGTTGACAAGGTGAGGCTTAGAAGATCAATCAAGTCCTGCTCTTTCGAAGTCCTAATTGGTGCAGGTAGATCTGGTAAAGCTAAAGCATTACTTGGAATAGAGGTTAAGGCAGTCGGCACAGATGAAGTTGCCGCAGTGGCATTGTTGATTGGTACAATGGCTCCACTTGTTCCAGCAAATGTGCTCTGAGAAGGCGGGAATTGTGCTCTGGAATGCCTGCACCCAGAACAATAAGTGAACCAGTAAAGAACTGTGCTATAAATTGAACATATTTATGAGGTTTGAGATGAATTAAGAGCTGGTGTATGAAACCTTCTAGCAAGCTGTGCGAAATCGTCTTCCTCTTCATCAATATGGCTTCTTGCCACAGTATCAACAGGTCCTGGTGGACTGATACTAGATGTCGGGCTGTTCACATCATTTGATATGTTGGAGCTACTTGCTTCAGTGGGCTAGGGAGTTGCACCAGCGGCCTTAATTGGTAAGGGAGAACCTACAGCTATGGCGTCATGTTTTGCAAGTAAACTTTGCAGACCATCATTTAATTCAAGACCTTGAGCTAAAAGTTCCTCATCCCTTCCACAAAGTCAATAAAGAACTTTGATATACGCAGATAGGCAATATACAAAAGAAAGAAATTGTGGATTTAAGAAATCCACATATAAACACAAAGAAACAAAAGCATACAGGTCGGATGCCATAGCTAAGTAAAAGACCATGGAGATTATGATGATTTTTAAGAAAACAGGATCCAAAAAGTTCCAAGTTGTTAATGACATTTAAAGAACAGAAATTTGGAGATGACTAACCCAGTAGTTGTGAGCATCTGCGTCATTTTTCTTTGGTTGGAACGACATTGATTGACAAGATCAACGACCACTTCATCTTTCACTGCCTGTTCATACAAACAAAAAACAGATGTAATTATAATAGATTCCGCTTTCAATTAAATTAAAGCAAAACGTTTTATTATTGTTGCTCATACCGCACTATCACTGGGGTTTACAGCTTTCAGCATGTCACTTAAGAGCTCCATAACATCCCTCATAGAGTATAAGCTAGACAAACTAAGATTATAAGGAAAATTTCAGCTCGAAAAAGGAGCGAGACAAAAAACATCCGTAAGTGAACACAAACTTTATAACCAAAACTTTAAAGTGATTCTAGACCTTAAACTTTTAATATCCTTAGCCATTGTTTCGCCAAAACTTCTAGAAGAATTGCTTGGATTCCATAACCAGGATTCATGTTTGGATGTGTAGCAGGTGGTGTATAGATAGGAGCTTTATTTGATGAACGCTTGGGAAACTCTACTCCCGAACGCTGTCATTTGTACAGTAACAAAATTTTAGTATCACTAGAGTAGTCGAAGACAACAATAGTAGTTGATCTCAGAAGTGGAAATCCTTGGATAGCATGTCCTTGATGCCAGTCTGCCATGACGCATCACTACTTAAGGTGCTATGCTTACCCTTAGCTCATCATATGCCCAGTAGTACTGAGGATGTTTACCCCCCGAATCACCAAATGCCTCTTGCCAAGAGTCCAATAGTGTCAAAATTTTATCCCTCACTAGCATATCTTCCTGCAGAATTCAGGGAGCCAGGTTCATTAAAACCGACATATAGACTTGAGGATTTTGATAGAAGTCAGATGCTACATCCATGCATGAAAAGTGAAAACATGGATAATAAAGAAACACTACATTCCAGCTGAACCAATTACTAGGTAAGAGAACTCTCCTTAGCTCAACAATTTTCAGTATCCATCACTTGTTAGTTAGCACCAGTCATCCCAGCAAACCAAACTTAAATTTCAATATGCATGTGGCTGCTAGTGTGTAGTACATAGGTGTAGTATCACTAATATCAGTCATTCCTCACAATTTTGACCATCTCCCCCAATACATCCCTCTCAGCAATCTGAAAATGGACAATCACCAGAATTCTTCGCCATTGTTTCCAAAAGCTACAAAGGGGAAACGGCACATGGTTAATCCACAAATACATATACACATGGCGGGAACTCCAGAAATAATTTTCCGAACAAAACTACCGTCAAAGCTAGTAATTGAACTTTAGAACTCTTGTGCTGCAGCCTTCTCTTCACAGCTTTTACAACGTCCTTCGCTTGCCTGACATGTCCACATCCAAAGCAAAATTTTCCATTAGTTTCCTAATATTTAAAGAAAAACCCTGAAAAAAAGTAGTAACACAAGTAATTGAAACCCAAAAAATGGTGATTTTAACAGACATTAAAGAGAAACTAACACCAAATAATCTTCATATAATTCAACCTAAAAAGTAATTTTGATCGAATCCTTTTACAAGAAACAATCTTTTTATATATGAAACCCCCCACAAATATCAATAAATTCCATAATTCAATCATATTAAATATTCATGCCAATGGAAAACAAGAATAGATGAGAAAATTACTGAACAGTTGTTAAATCATAAAAACATGCACGTAAGAAATTTAAGCTAACAAAGTAAAGAAAGTCAAAGTCAACTCATTCACAAAGAAACAAAATTAAAACAAGTAAAAATTAAAAAGTTTTACCAGCGATTAGAATTAACAGAATCGCAAATATCGATGTTCATAGTCCAATCAGGACCAATTAGAAGATCGCTCGTTGTCTTGTCTACAGTTACTGCGGCTGCCGATGATGAAAGCTGATGACATCATCATCATGTTTCCTTCTTCTCTTCACTTACCTTTTTCCTTTTACAACAATTTCTGCTTGTTTCCCGAGAAAATTCCACCCAAAGGAACGACGATTACAAGGACAACCTCAAGCTTTCCGCTTCAAAAGCACCCACCACATTTATCTTACCTTGTGTTCGGGTCCTAGGAAAGTAAAAAGATCAAACCCCTACAGAAAATTATAAAATAGAAATTCTCTTTGCCTTGCTTTATTTTGCATTTTATAAAGATTAACATACCTTTTAAGCAAGAAAAAACATTTTCTATTCGTTTCTATTTGGGGAGACTTTTGTCTTCAAACTCAACAAGCAACAAATTTAATATCGTTTAATTAATTTCTTGAATTCGAATTTTTATATATACAAAAACCCTGTTATGAGATTCTCCCTTTAAAATTAAAGGTGTATGATACAGATCGATTCGATAATAGACAACAAAAAATTTATTTACTTTGTAATGGACACTGGTCAATATTTTGATCATCCTAGTCGATATAACCATCGTCGTTTGCTTTATTAAAAATTACTTCTCCAACTTCGTTTTCCTTTTTATTTTATTTCTAGTGTTATACTTTAATTAACAAACCAGACATTAACCATTAATAAATTTAAATTTTATGAGTAATTTTAATTAATTTGGAGGATGAACTTTAGTAGCATCCAGATATTGACGAGTTAATATGTATATACGAATGTATATTTTTATGACATGTTCTAATTATGATAACTTCAAGTGATAAATTGTACTAAAGCATCCAAATATGAGCCAATCAGTGTCATCATGCTAGAAAATATCTTCAACTTTATTGTATTCTTCCCTCACTATAAGATAGTCACTTCTGTGCAAGCTTTTCCACATTGAATCTGTTCGCTCTTGAATCTTCTTGCTTTCTCTTTCAGTTTTTGTTTTAAGCAACAACAATGGCTGGTGAAGAATCGGTGACCAACAAGCAGGTAGTTCTCAAGAACCATGTGAGTGCCGGTTTGCCCAAAGAATCAGACATGGAGATCAAAGAAACTAGCATTCAATTGAAAGTACCGGAGGGTACTAAAGACGCGATTTTAGTAAAAAATCTCTACTTGTCTTGTGATCCTTACATGAGGAATCGTATGAAGAAGCTCGAAGGTTCGTATGCGTCGTCTTTCCAGATTGGCTCGGTGAGTTAGATGATCGGAACTTGAAAAAAGGCTCCCTTTTCTAATTTTTTTTAGAAATAATTTTGATATGTTTCTTTTTTTAGTTAGTGATCATTGCATACATGTTTTGATGTTGACTTTTCTGGGAATTCTTGGGTCGATTTGAAGCTTGTGGCTGTGTTAAGTTAATGTATAGAGTTGTAGATAAGATGTTCGTTAAAATACTCGTTCACTTTGAAATAAGTCAAGTTCAAATGGAAATTTCGGGTTATTGTATTTTTTGGGATGTGGGTTCTTTCAGATTTTGTTCACTGTGAATTAAGTTATAATTGGAATCATGGATGATAGATTAGAGCTGCAACAACAGTGAATTAGATGTTCAAGACTCAAGAACAATGCTTAGAGATAAATCATAGTTCAATCCATGGGTGAATCACAGGTGTTTATGACTAAACCAATAACAGCAGCACTTAAAAACTGAGCTCTCTCGCATGCTCCTGATCCAAATGAAATGAGGTTTTCTGTATTTACTTTACCTTTAAATGTTGACATTGCACAGCCTATATCCGGTTATGGAGTGGCCAAAGTTGTGGATTCTACTCATTCGGGATACAAAAAGGGCGATCTCATTTGGGGGATGACTGGTTGGGAAGAGTATACTCTCATAACAGCGCCCGATGGTTTGTTCAAAATTCAGCACACAGATGTGCCTCTTACCTACTATACAGGACTTCTTGGTAAGTTAATTTCTAATTTGTGAAGATAACATCAAAACTATACAAAAAAGGAATGCCACTTACTAACTAGTCAGACACTCATTGGATGTATTGTCGTTTGTTACTTGAACTTGAGTGAGTGTCAGATATGGGTCATGTGTGTGACACGGGTATATTCAGTTTTATAAGTTGTTCATGTGTTTGGAGGATTATATTCCCATGCCTGTGTCTGACAATGTTAAAGACAAACGAATAGCTGGAGCAATATGCATTGGCCTTGAGAAACTAAATCTCTGCATTAGCCTTATGCTCAACTAATTGCTCTTCAATCTGTCATTATAGGCATGGCTGGTATGACCGCTTATGCTGGTTTTTACGAGGTTTGCTCCCCTAAGAAAGGGGAGTATGTCTATGTGTCGGCTGCATCTGGAGCAGTTGGTCAACTTGTCGGGCAATTCGCAAAACTGTTCGGCTGCTATGTTGTTGGAAGTGCTGGAAGCAAAGAGAAAGTGAGTTTTTGATTCTGTCATTTCTTCCTTCCTTTTCCACCTTTTTATTCTAAATATCATGATAACTTCTGTATCGAAGATTGATTTGCTGAAGAATAAATTCGGGTTTGATGCGGCCTTCAACTACAAGGAAGAACCAGATTTAGATGCTGCTTTAAAAAGGTCAGTAGTTATGCTTTAGTATAATTTTGATTAACTAGGCTAACGTATCATCATTCAATAATCAACAATTCTCCAATTATGTATGATTCTGCCAGGTGCTTTCCAGAAGGTATCGATATTTACTTTGAAAACGTCGGGGGAAAGATGCTCGACGCAGTGCTGGCTAACATGAGGGTCCATGGCCGTATTGCTGCTTGTGGAATGATCTCGCAGTACAACAATGAGCAGCTTGATGCGGTGCACAACCTGATGTATATCGTGCCAAAAAGGGTTAGGATGCAAGGGTTTATCGTCGGTGATTTCTATCACCTGTATCCCAAGTATCTAGAAATGATTATACCTTACATCAAAGAAGGGAAGATAACATATGTTGAAGACAAGGCCGAAGGCCTTGAGAGCGCTCCGGCAGCTCTCATCGGACTCTTCACTGGTCTCAATGTCGGGAAACAGCTAGTTGTAGTCTCCCATGATTGATGCAACCATACGGAACAACTTTTCAGAGGTAATCCTTGTATATGTGTTGTGTTTATTATTAGATGTTAAACAAAAACAAGGAAATGTCTGAGTAAACAAATAGGCGTGATCATGGATTGTCTTTGATAATTACCATGTTTTGTGTTGTGGTTGAATCAAATGATCTATAATTCCAATAACTTGAAAATTCTTCGAATTTATAGAGGAAATGAATATCCATGTAGATATTTAGAGTCCATACCCGATACTCTCGTCAATGCTATACATTCGGTTTGAGCAACCTAAGACAGACAGAGGAATGTTATGCTATGAATACTCCATGTTCGAATATATTTCGAGAAAAATACCTAGAGAAATGAAGTGTCGGATTAACACATTATCTGTGTAAGTAGATGTTATCTTACTATGAAGTTTTTGCATGTAATACACGGAAGCCAGATGTTAATGAAAATGATCAGTAACCTACATGAATTTGGGCAATTCCAATGGCATTACCTTAAATGAACTTCCTTTCCATGTATAACAGACTGTATATCCATTATATTGAAAATTTTGTTAAATCTAGTTTAGTGTATTAGACGGAGGAGAAAAAAATAAAGAAATTTATATATTAATTTAAAAATATATTAAAATTTTGGACCTCAATTCTAGATTTTTAAATCCAACAGTAACGTATAAGCAGTCAAATATGAGAATACAGGATGAAGAGAATCATGGAGCTAAACGCTAACGCTATTGCAAGTTACTAGGTAATAAACAAAGAATACTAGAAGTGTATGAATAAGCAGTCAATTATGTCATAAAAATAAGATATAAAGTTTAGATCTTAATTATTGAAATAAAATAATGTAGTCTGAAATATTCAAATTTTTTATAACTCAATGACAGCAACAATAAATAAAAGGGATGGGGTGACGGCTTGAAAAGTGGAGGGGATAGGAATTCCACATGTTAGCTTAAATGTGGATTGTGGGGATATACCAATCCCCATGAGATATATACAATCATGGAGTTTTTTGCAATTCAATTATTGATGCCTCAAATTCCTACTTTTTCAACTTCACACATGTTCTACTTTTATCTAAATTATATATTTAATTCAAATAAGTTTAGTCTTTAAAAGAAATAATCATTATAATTACAAATAATTTGAATTATTATCACTATCTAATTTTATATCAATTATTAAACAGAGTCGAGATAAAAGCCAAAGCTTTGTTATCAATTGTTTTTTTTCCACCATTTTCCCTCCTTTTTCTCTTTCTCCATTGTTTCCTTGCGCTTCCTTCGGATCTCAAGTCATCTTCTTCCCTTCACTTGCTCATCACCATAACATCATTTTTCCTTCCCCTGTTTCCATTACCGAGAGCCCCCAAGCTTAATTCTTTCTTCCCCTTTGTGGCTCTCGATCTTAATCGGAACCAAAAAAGAAGAATCCTTTGCACTTTGGGTTCCTTTGATTGTTATGTGACACTCCATCCTCTTGTTGTACCCGTACTTTTCACTTGATTCCGGATTACCCTTTTTTTGTACCCCAAGAAAAAAAAAAGAGATTAAGATGAAGATGGACAGCTTAGCATCGCAGCTAAAACGGAGGATCTCCCGCCAATTCTCGACGGATTCTTTGAAACGGACTTTGAGCCGTCAATTCACACGGCAGTCGTCTCTTGAACCGTGGAGGAACAACCGACGGTTTAGCTTCGGCCGGCAGTCGTCGTTGGACCCCATTAGGAGGAAAAGCATTTGGGATGAGACGACGGTGCCGAACAACCTCGACTCGACCATGCAGCTACTGTTCATGGCGTGTGGAGGAGATGTTAAAGGGGTTGAGGATTTGTTGAACGAAGGGGTTGATGTCAATAGTATCGATCTTGATGGACGTACTGCTTTGCATATCGCTGCTTGTGAAGGTCATGTTGAGGTTGTTAAGCTTCTTCTTAAAAGGAAAGCTAATATCGATGCCCGTGATCGTTGGGGTAGCACGGTATGAACGGATCCTACCTCATATATACATATATGTATGTATGTATGTATGTATGTATATATATACTCGCATCTAACACTTACACTTTGTTCCGATATTGCCAGGCGGCTGCTGATGCTAAATACTATGGCAATGCAGAAGTGTATGAAATTTTGAAGGCCAGAGGAGCCAAAGTTCCTGTAAGATAGTACATTTTCTTCGTCTTCTTCTTCCATCTATGTATCATGTTTGTTTGTGATTAAATGATTTATGTTATTATGCATGTATGAAGATTGTTATTTACATATCTGTCTTGATATTAGAAAACCAGGAAGACGCCAATGACAGTTGCTAACCCTCAAGAGGTGCCGGAGTACGAGCTTAACCCATCGGATCTTCAAATTCGGAAGTCTGACAGTATAACAAAGGTATGCTCCGATCTGAAAGACAAGTCGGTTTATTTGCAGATAGTATTCTGCATTTCATTCACTATGCTGTGCAATGATTAGTATTCTGCATATCGTCCTGGTGTTTCACACCGTTAGAACCAATAAAAGATTACTCCGGCTTGTTACAATTGGCAGGGATCATATCAAGTGGCAAAATGGAATGGCACGAAAGTTTCAGTCAAGATATTAGACAAGGACAGCTATTCCGACCCTGAGAGCATGTATGAACATTTATCTTCTTTTCTTTTAGTCCTAATTTGTTGCAGAGCCTAATGCAGAACTATATTTGTATCTCTTCTCTTAACAGAAATGCTTTCAAGTATGAACTAACTTTACTAGAAAAAGTTCGACACCCGAATGTGCTTCAATTCGTCGGAGCTGTTACGCAAAACGTTCCCATGATGATTGTTTCAGAGTATCATCCGAATGTAAGCATGTGTTTTTGCTACGTTGATCTGTCCATTTTAACATTACTAAGGTGATGATCTTCATTTCAGGGTGACTTGGAAAGCAAACTTCGAAAGAAAAGGCGTCTGTCGCCATCCAAAGTTCTAAGATTTGCCGTCGACATAGCAAGGGGAATGAATTACCTTCATGAATTTAAACCAGATCCTATCATCCACTGCAATTTACAGCCAAAGTAAGGGAACCACTATAGAAGTTGACATAATGCCTGCAGAATTTTAAGGTGAACTGTCCTTTAATATTTGAAATTTTAAGGTGCCAGAAATATTTTGCTGGATAGTGGTGGTCAGTTGAAGATAGCCGGATTCGGTTTGCTGAGATTGTCGAAATTATCCGCCGACAAGGTTAAATTAGCACGTCCAAACGAACAACTCGATCCATTGAGTATGTGACGAAAAAACTTCCTTCTGGATTTTCAGTACATTCAATATAAGTACAACACATGTAGTCTTTCAGCTAGTTGTTGAACTGCTAACAGAACAGTTTTTTTATTGTAGATATATGTATGGCACCAGAAATTCGGAAAGATATGATATTCGATCGAAGTGTCGATGCATATTCTTTCGGTGTTATGCTATATGAGGTACAAGGTCCCTAAATAGTTCCATTCCTTATGAATGCCTGGATTTTCAGGGGTCTTGACGGCTTTTCCTGTTTGTTCCTATATGAGTTCAGATGACTGAAGGAGGAGTGCCTTTCCGATCTAAGCCTGCTGAAGAGGCGGTGGAATTGATGTGTATCGAACAACAGAGACCGCCACTCAAGACCAAATCGAAAAGTTATCCTCCAGAATTAAGAGAGTAAGTCTCGGAGTGAAAAGATCGTCTCTCGTCTCACCAGGAAAAAGTGCAGTTATCTTGTATAAGACTACATGCTTATAAATATTCTAAGCTTTACTCCTATGACCATATGAACAGGCTTATTGCAGAATGCTGGGATCCAGAACCTCTTGTAAGACCGACTTTTTCGGAAATCATCGTACGATTAGACAAAATAGTTTCTGGTTGCACGAAACAAGGGTGGTGGAAAGAAACTTTCAAGGTTCCTTGGTATGCTCCGATCACCGAATTTTTCGTTCACCGGTAGTTTGTATATGTTACATATGAATGACATGTTATTTGGTGTACCTTGATATATCATGAACTCAAATTTTCCTTTTCAAGTACTATTATAATCTATGTTGCTCAGACTAGGGTCTAGGGCAATGGTGGTAGACTCGGATTAATCCAAGACATAAATCCGAATCTGCCGAAGACTTCCATTGCTCTTACTCTTCCGAATTCTGAGTTTTAAAGCAGTATAATTTAACCCTTGATTGTTTGCAGGAAATAAGGGGAAGGATCGGTCAACTCGGAAAAGAGGAAACCGAACAAAGATTTCGAGGGAGGTTTCGAGTTCGAGATCGTGTTTTGGAAGCTTCATCTTGAAGAATGTGAGATGTAATAATTCTTTGAGCTGAACAAAGTGCAAAACCATGTTGTCATTGAAAGAAAGTGATGAACATCCCCTCCCTGTCTCTTCTTTCTTGGTCCGTCTTTTTTTGTGTAAAAGAGCTTACAAATTGGAAATGCTTATTGGTGAAGATCAGCGGTTGCATGTTAAGCCTGTACTATTCATCTTTCCAATGGAATAATTAATCCCAAGTCCTTAGATTATCACAATATGAGCCCTTCAAATAAATTATTACTTAAATAACCAATAGTGCCCTTCAATTACCATTTATTTAGTCATACATATATAAGAATTCATAGTCAGTGCAGTCAACCCAAATTAATTATGCAGACCTATAATGTAAGTATAACATTTCATTAAATACTCGCCTCTTATTAATGGACTATACACGAATTTGATTAAAAATATATATAGTTATTGCAAAGCTAAGCTTGGGGTTTGGAAATATGGTTATTGCATGTAAGTTGAGCTATAAATTCAATTATGTTGTTTTCTGAGCTTCCGCCTTCACTCACCGCGTCTGTTGCCGATTTCTTCCAATTCATTGCATTCCTTTTCATTTCTTCACTTTGATCTCCATCCATGACTTCCCTTATACATCTCTCTATCTCTTCTTTGCCGATGATTCCTTCTCCATCAATCTCCGCTCTGATTCCCACACGCCATACATCGGCAATGAATTTAGCATTCGTCGTTTGATCCGTCCAGTGCGGCGGCGCCACCATAGGCACCCCCAAACTCAATGCTTCCATCATCGAGTTCCAACCGCAGTGACTCATAAAGCAGCCCACCGCTTTATGACCCAGCACTTCCAGTTGAGGACTCCATGAAACTACAAGCCCTTTCTCTGAAGTTTCTTCTATGAAGTTGGCCGGAATCTTTTTCTGTTCAGATTCTCTGACAACCCATAAGAAGTTCCTTCCGCTTCTCTTTAAACCCATTGCTAACTCCTCCATTTGATCCTCTCCTGGGGCTGCCAAGCTTTCAAATGATACGTAAACGACTGAACCGGTTTTCTTAGAGTTCAACCAGTTGGCACAAATGTCTATCTCGGGCTTGAATAAGTGAACGCCGTAATCGTCATCGTCATCAACTCGGTTTTCTAGGTATTTGGACGGAACCGTGGGTCCGATTGTCTTGATTGGCCTCTGGTACGCCATCCAGTTTGTTCGACGAAATTTAATAGCCTCTAGTGCATTTAACCCTACAAATTAAACCCGTTAGATTATAAAGTCAGTAAGTAGAAATTACCTCATTTTCCAAGCTAGTGAACGTATTAAAGAAAACCCAGTCGGCTTTCTTGAAGCTGGAGAACTGATTTGTCAAAAGGTGCGTTAATGTGGGATAAGCTCCTATGTCAGAAATGAAAGATGGCAAGTCGTGTGGTCGAAGCAAAGGCAAGCCCGCCATGAACGTACAAGGCTCAACAATGGGAACCTTAAGCAACCCTTCGTGGAGATTGTAGTAGATTGTACTCACAGCACAAGAAAAAGTGAAGAACTCAGCTCCATAAACGCCTTGTTGCTTTGCTATATCCAGCGCCCATGGTAAAGCCGAGTCATAAACGAGGCAACTCGCTGTGTTTTCAGACTTGGACATGCCGAGTTTATCGATGATTTGTGGTAATCTAAAGGTGACAACGGCTTCGAGGCGGTCGAGGTAATCGTCGATGCTTTTCTCCATAACGCTATCGGCTCCAAGGTCGTCGAAAACAGGCTCGAGCTTGACGGAACTGTTGTCTCTGATTTCCAAGGATTTGTTACCACAGAAGGTGATGAGTGAAACTTGGAGTCCTTTGGAAGCCAGGCGTTTTGCGAATTGTAGCACCGGGTTGATGTGGCCTTGAGTAAGGAGAGGCAATACCAGGACGTGAATTTGGCTAAAATCTCCTTATTTCTTCATTTTCTTATTCATTTCATCTCATCATATTCTCATTTTCTTACCTCCCTTACCCATTATATATGAGAACAATGGACAACCATTTATTTTATACCACCGGATAACTTTATTATCTTTACGATTTCACTATAAAATTAATCAATATTTAAATAATTAAATAAACAGATAAAAGAACACCAATCATTCACATAAAACATCTAAAGATTTTTAATCATACGCCAATGGGCATTTAAACATCCTAATAAATATTGTATTCGAAACCTAACATCTCTAAATATAACAACCATCTTTATAACTATTAAGATCACTAGATTCATAAGAAAAAGAAAAAATATCTATTTTTTCATGTCAATAAAAATTTTAAAATATTAATATTGAATTACACATTTACTTCTTGCCTAACTTTCCTTCCTAATCTCACATGCATGCATGCATGATGTTTATAAAAATAATTTAAACTCTTGATTAAATTTGGTATCATCGTCTCACCGGTCAACTAATTAGTAGTTCAATTTAAAATCATTAAAAATAATTAATATTATTATAATATGTTTATCAAATAATTTATTAAAAAACTTATATAAAAATATTTACGTTTGCCATATAATGGGATGTGATAAAATTTATTTTAAGTTAAGAGAGTGTAGATAAAATTATTTATAAAAAAAAGACTCGAATTTATCAATCAGCGGTTGGTCTAATATGATAAGACATTATATCATTTAATAAAATCATAAGCTTAAATTTTAATTGCGAACAAAGTTGAGAGAGTTGATCCCATAATGAACTTTTACAATATTATAATGCTATTCTATAGTGATAGAAAAGTATGTAGCTTAAATTTGATCAAAAATATATTTAAAATGGAGGACAATTGAAGAAATGAGAAAATTGTGTAAAATTGACGAATTAAATTGATAAAAGAGAATTTATTTTCAAAAAAATGAATTGAAGTTGTATATATATATATTCTAAAATGGGATATGAATTTGTGGTTTAAATTTAGTAATAAATAAATTTAAAATGAAAGAGAATCTGACGAAATAAGAAAATCAAAGATCAAGCTTCAAAGCACTCGAATTACTTAATTAAAGATCAAAATGATATTGTTTTGAAATTTATTTTTAAATTGATAAAATATAAATTTGATTCAAACTCAATTTTTTTAATTCAAATTAACTCAAACAAATTAAATAACTTTAAAAATAAAGAATATATATTTTAACCGAAACAAATTTTGTTCAGCCCTACCTATAAACACCTCTATATCCACATTTCACTAGATAAAACACCTGTGCAAGTAGTGGCAGCTAGCCAGCCACACTATATCCACGGGTCATTAATTTTTTTAACTAATGATTGATATATTGATCGATTGATTCAAATCAAATATTATAAAGATCTATTATGAAATAACCATTTTAATTTTATTTTATTTATTCATAATCTCAAGATTCAAACTTTGGTCTTATTTAAAAAATTTGAACATCATTCTACTAGACTAATTAATTATTGGTACGAACATTAATTTTTTAATAAACAATATATACACGTTCATATAAGAGCGATGACTATAAACCATAAATAAAATTATTATTACAATAAAATATTCATATAATAATAAAATCGGTTATTATAAAATATAAACCAACATACTGTAATCATAATATATCTTAACATGACTTGCATATAATAATCCATAATTTCAAAATAATTGTTTTTTTAAAATAATTTTTGAATTTTTTTTTTGGGTTTTTTATTCGGTTAATCTTGATTACAAAATAATTTTGTTATGACTTTGAAAAAGTTACTTTTCTAAATTCACATGAATCAATCGATAATTTTAATGATCAACTAATGGTTTTAATTTCATATTTTAATTTTCATTTCATTTTATTTTTCAATTTCAATTATTTGTTTACATAGTTAATTTATATTAAAATTAACATTAAAAAAATGAAATATACAAAAATAAATAAAACAAGTTAATAATTTATATTAAAATTAATCATTTTCAAACCTACCTAAAACCAAAACTATAGGTTACAAAATTAAACCCTAATACCCAAATTATATCTTACCTGATTAAACATTAGACCTAAAATTTTAATTCATCGTTAAGTGGCTTCAATGATTAAAATGAATTATTATTCTTTTTCGAGGTTTTAGATTCGAACAGTTGTATCTGTAGGGAGTATGTCTTGTTAATGACTAGTTTTTTTTAACGTAGGTTCAAAGGTGAATCAAATTAGTTAAATAATTTTGAATTTCTTCTAAAACGATACTCATGGTTCACACATCCAAAAGCTTCCTTCCAACATTATCATATATTCAGAAAGTGCGTAAGACAACTAAAATTCCACAAAAGGGTGCTGAGTTTGTACTTGATTCTTCTATTACTCTTGAGATTGGCGATTAAACAAAAAGAAGATAAAGAAAATTGTTAGATTTTTAGGGTATTAACCCAAATTAAGAATGATTTTGTTTTAAATGACGTGGAAGATGGGTTAAAGGGAATTTCTTGTTTTATTAAGGAAAAAAATAATTTTAAGATAAAATTTAAAATGTTAGGTAAAATCATAATAAATTATCTAAAAGCAATAATATTTTTGGCTGAAATTTAAAATTTTATTATCAAATTAAATTCGTCGTAATTTAAAAATTCAAGTAACATTTTAGGTTATAATTGAAAATATTACCAAAACATTTAATATTCTAAGTTAATTTGGGTAACATTTCAAGTTTCAAAATCACAACAAATTAGGTAAAAAGGTAACATACTCAGTTACAACATAAAATGTTATCCTTAATATTAAGTTTGAGTCAGTTTTAAAACTTAGATATAATTTTATATTAATATAGGTAACATTTCAAATTAATATAAAAAAATTATACGGATGATTTCTTATGTTTTTTGTCTGACCAATTTTGATCACCGATTAACAGAAATTTTATGTGGCAATTAAAAATAAAATCCTCATATCGTCTTCTTCTTACAAATTTGGTGTAATACATGATTTTCGGCTCCTTCGTAGGCCGGGAAGCGACGACATAGGAAATGTTTATCTTTGCCAGATAAGGAACCTTGTGGTTGGTTTGCCTCAGTTCTTTTATGCCACGAAGTTGTGGATAGAGAAACTCTTGCCATAAGGAAGAAGCTGCAGAGAGATGACATGGAGAAAGAGATTCTAGGTATGCTTGATCGCACATTTGAGCTCACTTTGTATGCAGAATTTGAGGATTCTCATTACTCTTGTTTAGTACAGGAGCATTGCTCTGGTCGAGACTTGTATGTTTCAAGGCAATGCCAACTGGGAAACCGTTTCAGCATTTAATCTGCTAAGTAAGTTTATCTTATTTTTTTTGGATAATTATGATTTTATTACCCAACTCAAGGTTTAATTACAACCAATCCACCAATCTACAACGAAAGAATCAAATAAACAACCTACAAAATGATTGGTTAGACTATACCCCAAACCTTACAAAGCCTTAAGTTCGTACTATCAAGTCTATTAATATTAGTTCTCCTGAGGCGGATTCCGACAACGTCTTTAACATCTTTGAGCAAGCATTCGATCGTTCTACGTCGTCCTTGAAATATTCTCTGATTTCTTTCCTGCCACAAAGAGTAGATAAAAGCAGTCCAAGAGAATTTAAGAATGGTAGTAAGAAGAGACCTCCCTTTCCATGATGAACATGCCTTCGAAACCATATCTTCCCATGATAAATAAGTAGTCTTCATCCCATTAAGGTTCAGAATTGAGTTCCAGAGATCTGTTGCTAGTGAACAGTGCGAAAAGAGATGGTCCCTTGTCTCGTTTGAGTTGCTGCAATTAACACAAATACCGTCAGTACTAATTCCCATTCGAAGAAGCCTGTCTCTAGTTGGCAATTTGTTCAGTAAAGCCATCCAAGCTATTAAACTAAACTTCGGAATATGCAATGGGAACCAAATTATTTTATGCCATGAAATATTTTGCCCTTTAGATCGAATCAAGCCCCAAATTTCCTTTACTTGTGGAGAACCGACTGAAAGAATTGGAAGAGCTTCAGCCCTTGATTTTAATATTCTGCCGATACTCCAACTTACATTTGCAGCAGCTCGGAATTGCCAAAAGTCATGCTCCTTAAAAACGTATGCCTTTAACCATGCAACCCACAATAATTCATCTCCCGTTAATATTTTCCGAATTAGACTAATGAGACAAGCTCTATTCCAAGATTTAATGTTCTTCAGTCCAAGGCCATCTTCTGATTTGGATAGACAAATAATTTCCCAGCTCACACGAGCACCAGCAGCAGATTTATCTGCTCCTTTCCAGAAGTACATTGAGCAAAGCTGTTCCACTTTTTTAAGGATTGAAGCTGGCAAAACAAGTTGTCTACACCAGTAGTTGTTGACGTTGAATAAGACTAATCTAATGAGCTCTAATCTGCCTGCATAACTGAGATTTCTCCCAGTCCAATGATGAAGCTTGAGCTTGATGTTATCAATTAAAGCTTGACAATCCTTTTCGGTAAGCTTACGGGTGACAAGAGAAATACCAAGATAACGGACAGGAAGAATTCCAATATGAAACCCAGTAATCAGTTTTAATTCCTCAATAGTTCTTAATGTAATCCCCGCAGCAAAAATCTCACATTTGGAAGGATTCAGTTTAAGCCCATATATTTCATAGAAATGATCAAGAATAGTGAGTACGCCAACAACAGATTCAATGTTACCCTTGCAAAAGATCATTAGATCATCAGCAAACGATAGATGAGTTAGGCCAATTTTCCTGCATTTAGGATGGAAACCAAACATTCCTCTTTCGGCAGATAAATTAAGCATCCGAGATAAAATATTCATTGCTAGAACAAAAAGATAAGGGGATAGAAGGTCTCCCTGCCTTAGACCTCTTGCACCTTTAAAGTAACCAATTAAGGTCCCATTAAAAGAAATGGAGAACCTAGCTCCTGTGAAACAAGCTTCGATCCAAGCAATGAAAGCCTGAGGAAGTTGGAGAGCTTTAAGAATTTGTGAGATGAATCCCCAATTAATGGAGTCAAAA